TTATTTTTTAAAAATTTTACAATTATTATATTTTAATAAATTTAAAAAATATAACAATTAATTAAATTAAAAAAAATAATATTAATAATTACTGACATGACAATAACATCATACCTAAAATCAGGAAAACAGCTCCACCGAGAACATGGACTTGTTTCAGCATGCCATTAAAAGGGGGACCTAAACTAGCTCCTATCTTCGGTAACCAAACTTCCCATATTTCAAAGCAACTTGGCCGGGAGTAATTGGCTCCGTTGGTTCTTTTTCCTTCCCTGCACGGAATCCCAATCCAATAATTAATTGCAAATTTTGACTAATCACTACTCTTTAATTTTAGTAAATTTTTGCTATCCCCTGTTATTATAATTTTCTCCACGGTTTCAAAACGTAGTAAGTATGTCATTTTAGGGAGTTATACATCAAGAAAGTTAATTAGTACCATTACTAATAACTTTAGTTAAAGGAATATACAAAGATTGAACTTCTAAAATTACACAATATATTAAGTATATTTCAAGTAATAATCTTTCTAGATTTAATGGTTAGTTGAGATAAAATTGAAAACAATAAAAATAATGCTAATGCATTTAATTTTTCAAAACGTCAAATAATTTGGGGTAAAGTTTCTTTTTAAAAACGTCATTTATTGAAAAATAAAAAGAGTACATTTGATTTTTTTCGAATAGTATAAGATAATTCATACTATAAAATCATAAAAAAAAAAAATTGCATTCACTAGAGTTTTCACTCACAATTTTTACATAATTATTTTTTTAATATCATTTGGATAGAAACTATGATTTTATTAGAAGAGTAATAAACTAGTAGTAACACAAAGGTTTTGTTTGTCAATAATAAAATAGATTTTAAATATTTTTAATTATTTTTAAATAAATATAAAATATTAGTAAAAATTTAGAAAAATTTATAAAAAAAATTAGTAAAAAATAAAAATTTATATTTTAAATAAAATACTTTTATATATAAAAAATATGTTAATAAAACCAAACCATAGTTCAAAAACTTTTCTTTTAAAATTTTATAAACTAAAATTTAAAATAAAAATTTAAAACTAATAACATAATATATGTCATATTATTAAATTAATTGATATATATAACATTATATATTTTTTAAAATAAAAATTATTAAATAATATAAAATTTATTTTTTAATATTTTAAATAATATAATTTATATCACATATGACCATAAATTCCAATCTCATTTATTATTATTTTTTGATAAAATAAGCGGCAGGGTAAAAACTAAAAACAAACGGCGAGTGCTACTGGTTCGGTCCCCCGTTGAAACTTGATGTCATTTCATTATCAAACAATTACTATCTCTTTTTATTTTTGGCTTTATCTGTTTAAAAGGGAAAAAAAAATTTGAGTGTCACGGTACCAATCGTCGGCGATCCGGCAGGCAACAAACTCCTCATGCAAAACGAAACCTCCCCCGCTTTTAAAAACGTGGCGCCTCTTACACTTCTTTCGTCTCTCTACCTTCTCTCTGCCTTTTCCTCTTCAAACTCTCTCTCTCTCTCTTTCGCAGAGATTGGATCATTCTCTGTCTTCTTCTTCTTCTTCTTCCCTTCTTTATTTTCATTTTCACAGCTACAAAAACCAAATCGGACGGCAGCTGCTTCCGGCGTGGCGGAGCTTACAGAAGTCTCCACCTGTTTCGGCTTCATCACTCCCGCCCACTGTAGCTCGTATTTGTACAACAATCTCAAGGTCCGTGACGCGTTCTTGATTCTGCTTTTTTTTTTTTTGGTTTGAATAGTTTGGTCATTCGTGACAATGGAGGATCGAGATTCGCTTCCTACGGGTATTTGGTAAGGGAATGCGATTTTTTTTTTTTTTTTTTTTTTTTTTTTGGTTTGAATAGTTTGGTCATTCGTGACAATGGAGGATCGAGATTCGCTTCCTACGGGTATTTGGTAAGGGAATGCGATTATTACTTCACCTTTTGCTTGGATTATTGATTTATCCCCTTTGAAGCTTTGATTAGAGAGATTTGCAGCTGGAATTAATCGGTAATGATAAATAATCACGATCATGGAACCTGGATTTCTGTTTTTATTTACGTTCTCGCCTTTACTGGATGATCCTATAATTTCGGTGCCGGAGCTTTTTTTTTTTTCTGGCCGGAAATCATGTCTGTTTTGCGTTGTTCTGCTTTTTTAATTTCAAGTGTGGTAAATGTGAACTTCGTTGCGCGATTTGTCCTCCCACGTGCACATGCACCTACTTAATCGGACATTATTATTTGAGGATTGATGTCAACAGTTTGGTTCTTTAAATTTTCTCCTTTTGGTTTTAGGACTTCTAGGTTAATTTGCTCTTAAAACTCAGGACTATTGAAATTCAAATATCTATTTTTAATGTTGTTAACTGCAAGACTGCTAAAATTGTTAAGCTAGTTTTTTTTTTTTTTTGATGTTTTTGCTCTAGCCTTGCCTTAGGTTTAGCCGTTTAGGTGTGTGAAATATATGAAGTATTTCTGCAAAATTTGGTTTTGGTTATGAGCTTAGAATGTTAGTTTTATTTTTTCATTTAGCCAGGACACGAGGATTCTAACATAAATTTCTTGTTTAATTGAATGAAATTGCAGTTTAATTTGAGGGCAATCCACAACATATGAAAGCCTTGTTACTCTATGAAGGAGATTAAGTCATGGAAAGTTTTGGTGAGAAAAAGGAGTACAATCCCTGACGGGGTATGCCATTCTCATTTATCTCTGTTTCAAGGCTCTAGGAAAATATGGGTTTCAAAGAGTGTTGTATTCTGAAGTATAATGATTACTTTTTAAAGCTTCAAATTGAATAATGGTGGTGCAGGGGAAATGTGAGTTAAAAATGAAGCAGTTTCAATTTATGGGTGTTATTTGTGCGGTAATGCTGTTCATTGTGTATAGAACTACAAATTATCAGTACCATGAAACACAGGTACGGCAACACATTGATTTCTAGATTTCAGGTTATGATTATTGATTGTGGGCTACTCTTTAATCATGTGAGATTAAATTAATTCTTCTTTTGTTTTTCTTTTACTTTCTTTTTCCATGCTTCTTTCTTTCTTCCCATTATCAGATGGAAGCAAGATTTAGCCCTTTTGAGAGAGTTAAGGTAAGTATCTTAATAATAGTTTGTGTTTCTAATTTTTATTCTTTTATTGCTCTAGTTTGTAGAATAATTCAGCCTTGGTTGTTGTGATAGACTATGTTCCATCGATTTATGATATTAGCATGGACAGGGGTGGAGAGACAGGGAGACTCGCCTCCCCTGACTTTTGAAAACTTTTCAAATGGCACCTTAGATTCTGAAAAAATCAGATGGCATCCTAGACTTTTATGTTTCATTTTTCAATTTTCTTTGATAATTTTTAATGAAATGAAATCATTTTCTCATACATTTGACACTTAGTTCGAATAAATATGTATTTTGTTTCGGTTAGTGAATTAATAAGAATTCTATTATAAGATGTAAGAAATCACCAACCATTCACAAGTAAAATAATTTTTAATTTATGAGAATATGTGTGTTTACTTGATGTGGTTGTTGTGGTATTATATGGTTATTAAAGATCTGTGCTATATTGCTCCCCCAACTAAAGGCTGCACTATAAAATTAACTAGAATTTGGCAGGTCAATTTCTGAAAATATCTTAATTTAATATGGTCTGAAATGTGGTAATTGATATTTTGTAACACTAGTGCTTGAAATTAGAATTTAGATACATGCCATAGCACGAAATTTAAAAAGTTTCTCTATATCTAAGGCCTATAATTTTAGTTTTTGTAGATGTTAATGTCAATCTTGTTCGCAAGTCATGATTTTTACAAAATTTATTTATTGGCGTACAAAAACCCAAAAGGCAGTTCCACCCCCCTGATGTCAATTTCTAGCTCCACCCCCGAGCATGGAGGCTTTGTTTAAGTGCAGGCCTCTAATTGTTATTGGTCTCCTGAGGCTTCTTATGTTCTTGTCTAGGACATTCAAGTATCTTCTTCAAAGTTAAAGAATTTGCCTCGTGGCATCATACAAGCTCGCTCAGATTTGGAACTGAGGTCTCTGTGGTCAACAAGTAGTTCAAGGTCGAAGGTAAGAGTCTTATTAGATTGTGTCCTGACACAAGTCTAATCTAGTTTCTGAACATAGCACTGTGTTCTGTCTGTGCGTGTGGAGGGGTGTTTTTGGGGGGTGGGTGGGTGGGTTAAATCTATATGTGATATATTGTTTGCTTAATGGGGTTACATTATTTTTCCTTTTGGATTTCTATTGTTTGATTGGTGGTTTCTATTGTTCCTTATATTTTTTGGATATCATATTACAGGTCAATGTTTCCAGCAACCGTTACCTTCTGGCTATGCCAGTTGGTATTAAGCAAAAGGAACATGTTAATGTTGTTGTGCAGAAGGTAATACATTTGTCCTGTTGAGTTTCAAATTTCATCAACTTTACATTCTTTGCCTAATTTCAGTGAATTCAGTTTCTTGTAGAGAACTTTACCGTTATCCTGTTCCATTATGATGGCAAAATGGATGGATGGTGGGATTTTGATTGGAGTGACAAAGCCATACACATAATAGCTCAAAACCAAACTAAGTGGTAAGATTGGCATCTGGTAATAGGATTTCTTATATATATATATATATATATATATATGAAATCTTGTGATACATTTGGGCAGATACGTATGCTTGTTATTAAACTGCAATTTTGTATTTTCTTCCAACTGAGCTGACATGCTAAACTTTTCTTTTCCTATGTATTCATACTTTAATTTATTAAATTGTCCAGGCAATATGATACCAGCAATAGAATAGTCAGGAAAAAAAAAGGAAAAAAAAAAAAAAAAGAAGGAAAGAGTTGGACGTAAGCTCTTTATTTATTTATTTATTTTTGAATTGAGAATTGATGTGGCAAAAGTAGGACCTTCAGCAATAATTTTGTGATGTATGCACGTTTGTGAGCAAAATTAAATTTTGATCTGGACAAATATACATTAACTCTATAATTTTGGTATGATGAGAAGCATAATAATTCTTTTTTCCCCTGTAATTGGATTTTTTCTCCTCTTGTTTTTAGGTGGTTTGCAAAACGCTTTTTACATCCTGATATTGTGTCTATTTATGACTACATATTTCTCTGGGATGAAGATTTGGGGGTGGAGAATTTTCATCCAGGAAGGTATATTTCTCATACTTGCTTTATTCACTGTAATAATCAAACACTATTCCTGTGTCAGTATAAGGGTTCTAATTATGCTTTATGATGTTTTCCTTGTTAACTACAAATAGAGAGTTTGAGTGATTGTAGATTTTCCAGGTACCTGCAAATTGTGAAGTCAGAGGGACTGGAGATATCCCAGCCAGCTTTAGATCCAAATTCAACAGAAATACATCACAGAATTACTGTTCGTGCAAGAAAAAAGAAGTTTCATAGGTGAGTGCCCCTGTCTTCACAGACTGTTAAAAGAATTTATTCATTAATACCCAATTACTGATATATATTAAATATGTTTTACCAAATGCAGAAGACTGTATGACCCTAGAGGTCATACAAAGTGTATGAATTCAAGTGAAGGGCCACCATGTTCTGGGTGAGTTAGTTTAATGGCACAATAGACATGAACATTGTCTTTTACTGTTTCTTCAAAACTCCTTTTTTGTTTTGGTTATATCTACTTCCCTACTCTTTACCATTTATTGCCATACTTCTCAGATAATGACAGTAGAAAGTTTCAACTATGTAAAAATGAAATCATCTTTCAATATTTTTATTTTTTTTTATTAAAAGAGCAATCTAAATTTCTATGATTATAATACTCAACAGAAAAATAAGTTGGCTATCTCGTCTTGCTCTGTCTGTGTGGGGTTGGGTGTGTGGGCAGGTGAAGCTTTCTGATTGTCTGCTACATACATATCAGTGATGATAAATAACCAATAAAGTTCTCGAAGGATAATTTGTATTTTCAATTTATGGTTGCAATACTAATTTGGTTTACTTCTGTTACTGATTTTAGATTTGTTGAGGGAATGGCTCCAGTGTTTTCAAGATCTGCCTGGTACTGTTCTTGGCATCTTATACAGGTAATCTTGTCCTTGGATTGCATGTTTTTTTATGTTAATCTGGCCTGAGGTTGCTCTTTGTTGTTATATAACTGACTGCCTGATTTCATCTTGCCCAGTGTTGCTGGGATTAGCATGCATGTAATATATAGTGTGTCTGTGTAAATTTACCCCACTTATTGGGAGCAAGGAAGTGCAAATGGATAATAAAATTAAAAAGAACTCGAGGACATATAAAAATGTGATTGAGATGAGATATCTTTGTCATCTATTTCAATATTAAAAATCCAAGGGTTCAGTCTCATTCTGAACTTATATCCACTCATCAAAAGAGCTGCTCTCCATTTCACCATCAATTTTCAGCATTTGTAAGGCTTCAGATAACAGTTGCTTTATGTTCTACACAGACGGTCATATACTTGCATATTATAATATTATCATCACATAGACCTGTAAACATGCATATATGAACTCGTGCTCAGATTTCTGCATCATCATCACATTTAGTACCACTTTCTTGTTTAATTTTGATATGTTGGGCACAAGTCATCTTGTCCTTATTATCCTTTTTATTATTTTTTCAGAACGATCTTGTTCATGGATGGGGAATAGATATGGAGTTTGGTTATTGTGCACAGGTGAGAATCACTTAGGTCTTTTTTATTATGGGTAGCCTTCCATCAGTTATTTTTTCTCCCATAAAGATGTGGTTAGGCATAAACTCTGTGACTCATTTGGTTCAATTACCAAGGCTTGGCAAAAGGGTGTGAAAGTCATTCTCGCATTGTCGTTTTGTGTCTGCAGTGGTAGTAAGGGCAAACAAAGAATATAGATGTGCCCTTAAACTTATTTAATGTATTATTTTTACATCATGGTTTTAATTTTCAATTATTATACTAATGTTTTGGTTAATAGCATAGAACTAAGAAGTTTAACATTCTTGGACAAATGTGTTATTTGTACAGGGTGATCGTACAAGGAAGGTGGGAGTGGTTGATAGTGAATATGTTGTTCATCAAGGGATACAAACTTTAGGGTTTGGAGGAACCCAAACGATAAAGGTTTCATTTGCTAGTTTCATCCTCTTTTCTCCGTTTGTGATTTAATTTGTAGTTTTCAGTAGTTGGTTGTCTTTGACATGCCTGAACCACAGCCAATCAGCTGGTATATTTTCTTACCTAATTTCTATAGTGACTTGTCCATTTCTTTTCACATCAGCTTTTCCTCTTAATTTGTAGTTTTTAGTAGTTGGTTGTCTTTGACCTGTTGGGTCACAAAATCATTGTCGTCTCAATTATTATTTTTGTTTTGTAAGGGCACAGATTAAGGATATCTTTTCAGTATTGTTATGAAAAAATAAAAGTTGATCTTTTTTAAATCAACTCTCCAATTAAAATTATTTACATGGCATAGATGATGAAATTAATTTCAGATTCTGTCATTTTCAATATCAATTAATGTCAAAAGTATATTAATTACATCCATAAGGACACAAGTTACAAAATTCCTTTATTCATTTATTTTATTGGTAATTAATTATTATTGTTTTATGATCTGTAGTAAATCCTCATCCTTTACAAGTGATATAGATTTCCAGATTCATCCAAGAAATGATGATGCTCAAGCTTTTCAAGTTCTTTTGCTGAAGTTTCATTTCACTCATAATTTCCATTGTCATTCAGGGTAAGGTACAGAGACATAGACCTTCACATGGCGATTCACGAACTGAGGTTAGTTATTCCCTAATATACCGTAATCTAAGTGATCCACAAACTGAGGTTAGTTATTCGCTAATATATAATCTAAGTGATCTGTGATCTACATCTTGCTATTTTGATCTCCACAAATTATCCGCATGTATTGAATGATCTCTTTTTTACTGTACCCAATAACCATATGAAAGCCATGTAACAGGATTGATGGTATTATAGACCGTCAATGCCTTTAGAGTTGAAATATCTCATGAAGTTTACCACCTGCAGATTCGGAGGCAGTCAACATGGGAACTTAAAGCCTTCAAAGAGCGCTGGAATCGTGCTGTCAAAGAGGACAATAACTGGGTCGATCCATTTGCAAGATACCAAAGGCGCAGAAAACCAAGAGGGCACAAAAATTAAGTGGGAAGTTTTAGTTAAAACCCTCAACCTTATAGTTCAGCTTCACCTCACACACAGTTACAGAAGTCTCTTTCTACACATTTACAATTTAGTTCACTTAGCCTTTGTTGGATACTCATAATTATTTCATTTATTTGAATAATTATATTTTTTTGATTTTGAGTTATATAATGAGAAGTTATTTTCTCACATCTTTTAATCTACTTTATTTACATGTTATGTGATTCAAAACTTTTTATTTTTACTATAAGAAGATTATTATTAAATTATTTAAATAGTTAGTAGTATTTCTTTTAAATCAACATTTTTTTTTTCTGCTTTTTCAATTTTGTTTTTTTATTTTTTCAACAGATTATAATTATTCACACATTAATTGAGGAAAAGGAAAAAGAGATACACAACTCATAGGAGGTGAATGACTTTAAATTAGGATCTAATATCACTGGATTGAAACGAGCCATTCACTTTTCCAATTTTGTTAAATTATGTAAATTATAGATTCTGCAGTCCTTTTCATTTCCCTTGTTATAATGTATTATTAGTAAATTAATATTATGCAATGCTTTTCTTGTATGACTTATTATTATTTCATTTTACTGATCTTTTAATATTCTATAACCACATTGAATTTTGATTAATCTGAAATCGAGTCAGATCAAACTCCATTAGGTGAGGAAGCTCTCTTAATATATGTTTTTTCATTTACAATACTTGAACTCGAGATATTATATAAGAAGTTGAATTTTTTTCATTCAGATCAACATGTTATTGATCTTGTATGACTTGTTATTGATTAGCTTTGAGATTATCATTTAATTTCAACCAAACAATTAATTAATTAATTATTTACTTTATCTACAACTATGAGAATATATTGCTAACAGTGGCATACAGACACGAAAAACATCCAAACCTAGTCTTTACGATACGTATGATGTTAGAATTAACGCCGGCCACCGTGTCCCCTAACCAAACAAAACCAAGCATAAGACAGCAAGGTTCTTTTCATGCTCCTTTTTCTACCTACACTAAAAGGACCATTTTATGCTGTTTACAAATTGGGTTTTACCATTGCATAGATTATGGGTATATTATTTATACATTTTTATTATTAATTTATATTAATTTGTATAAAAAGATAAAAATTAATTTTAAATTTATTAATTATTTAATTAAAATTATTTACATAGCACTGATACTGAAAATATTTTTTATTTTTATATTTTTTATGAAAACTTATTGTAAACAAATATAACTAATAATTAATACAACCTATATACTAAAAGAAGAAATCCTTTTATGACAAAGAAAGAATAATTTAATTTACCATTCTTTTATTTTAGTGAACTCTGTATTCTGTCATGCATTTAATTTATAGTAATGATAAAAAAAATTAAAATTAATGATATAATTTAAATTATATTATTAAATTAATTAATATAAATAGTATTATAAATTTTAAAAAATAAAAAATTAATTATTAAATAATATAAAATTTTCTTTTTAATATTTAAAAAAATAATACTATTGTTGCCAAAGTCGGTCATGCCGACAGAAGGTCTCCGTTTGATTCTTGGTTTCGCAAAAGGGCGTAACTACTACAAAAGCTCTCAAGTTTATAGGACTACGACTTTTAAGTCCATATAATTAAAAGACATTATTTAAGTCCTTAAGAGCAAATAAAATTATTTTAATTTAAGGCATTAGGGTTTAGCGATTGTAATCTTAGGGATTAAATTATATTTCTAGGGTTTAAGATTCAAGGTTTAAGGTGTTAGGATTTAAATTTTTTAGGGTTTAGATTTTTAATTAAAATTCAATGTTTATGATGTAGTTAGGGTTTTGTGTTTTAAGGGTTCAATATTTAAGGTATTAAGGTTTAGAGTGTTTTGGATTAAATGTTTAGGACGTTGGGGTTTAGTATTTAGCGAGTTGGAATTAAAATTTTTTGAGTCTTATATTTTGTGATATTAAAATTTAGATTTTTAGCTTATATATTTTATAATGTTAGGGTTTAAATTTTTTCTAATTTAATATTTAATATATGTTAGGTTTTATAGTTTAAGAGTAGTGTATATTAATTCCAACTCTAAAAAAAAATTAGAGTTTTAATTTATATTTAGAAATTAAAATTTCAATTCAAAAT